AAAAAAAAAAAAAAAAAACCAACAACAAAAAAACAAATCTTCTATCTGTGAAATAGTGAAAAAGGAAAAAGAAATTTGTGCGAGTTTTGCTGTCGCACCTCAAACTGCAAGTTATGGCCACGGTGCTTAGTTACAGTGGAAAAGGCATTACACCTGTATATGGAAGACATGGACAGACAGGTTTGCAGGCTGATGGCAATCGGGTGCAGTACTACGCATGGTTTCAGGCATCCACTGGGATTTCTGGAATATATTCCAGTGGATGGGGGGGTATCACTTGAAAAAGTTGTAGCCATCATAACAGTTCATCCCGAATATCTTAGCATGCATATCTTAAAAATTAGAAATTTCTCCTACAGGCCAGGCACAGTGGCTCATGCCTGGAATCCCAATGCTTTAGAAGGCCAAGGTGGGAGAATCACTTGAGGCCTGGAGTTCAAGACTAGCCTGGCAACATAGCAAGACCCTGTGTCTACAAAAAAAATTTTATCCAGCCATAAACAATCATGAAATAATGTCTTTTACAGCAACTTGGATGGAATTGGAGAATATCATCCTAAGTGAAATAATGCAAGAACAGAAAACCAAACATCACATGTTCTCACTTATAAGTGGGAGCTAACCTAAGGATCTGCAAAGGCAGAGAGAATGATATAATGGACACTGGAGACACAGAAGGGGAGGGTGGGAAGAGGGCAGAGGGATGAAAAATCGCCTGTTGCGTACAATGTGCACAGGCGGGGGTGGTGGGTACACTTACAATGCAGACTTTTTCCCCAATATACAATGCATCCATGTAACCAAAAACCATTTGTACCCACTAAAGCTATTAAAATTAAAAAAAAAATTTTTTTTGAGTTGGAGTCTTACTCTGTCACCCAGGTCATGAGTGGCACACTCATGGCCACCACAGCCTCGGCCTACTGGACTCAGGCAATCCTGCCTCAGCCTTCCAAGTAGCTGGAACTATAGGAACATGCTACCATGCCTGGCTAATTTTTTGATTCATTGTAGAGACGAGGTCTTGCCAAGTTGCCCAGACTGATCTTGAACCCCTGGACTCGGCAATCCTCTCGCCTCCACCTTTCAAATTGCTAGAATTACAGGCATGAGCCACCACATCCAGCCCCACCACACACAATTTTTTTTTTTTAAATAGCTGGGCACAGTGGTGTACACTTCAAGTCCTAGCGACTCAGGAAGCTGAGGTGGAAAGATCACTTGAGCCTAGGAGTTTGAGATTACAGTGAGCTATGATCTTACCACTGTACTCTAGCCTGGGTGACAAAGTAAGACTGTCTCTAAAAAAATAAAAATAAAATAAGATAAATTTGTCCTCCAAAACAGAACAGTACCCTTTTCATACCTAAGAAAATCAACAGTTCCATAATATCACTAACATGCAATCCATAGTCACATCCACCCACCTGGCCTCATAATTTCTTTTTTTGTTTTGGAGATAGGGTCTCACAAGTGCCCTGGGGAAAGCTAACGCTAAAATACAAGTTGGGACCTGCTTATAGAGGCCCTCAAATTACAAGGTAAAACAGAATTAGGATTTTGTTCTGTAGCCAAGCTTTAAAATAAATAAGACCACAGAAAGACTGGAGGGGTTATAAGAGGAGGTGACTGGAACTGTCTAGGAGTGAGGCAGTATGGATCTTTATTTTGAGTCAGAGTCTCATTCTGTCACCCAGGCTAGAGTGCAGTGGCATGCACACGGCCACCGCAGCCTCGACCTGCTAGATTCAGGTGATCCTTCTGCCTCAGCCTTCCAAGTAGATGGAATCACAGGCATGTGCCACCACACCCAGATAATTTTTGATTTATTGTAGAGATGAGGTCTTGCCAAGTTGTCCAGGCTGGTCTCAAAACCGTAGGCTCAGACAATGCTCTTGCCTCAGTCTCCTAAAGTGCTGGGATTATAGACATGAGCCACTGTGTGCCAAGCACTAAGGATCTAGATGGGTTGACAATAAGGAGAAGAGTAGTCCCTAAGATGCAGTCTCACCTATCTTCAAGAGCTTGTGATCTACCTACTGAGATAACATATTACACGGGTGTTACACAATACAGAAAAGTGATATTTTAGGATCAGAAGAGACTTTAGTGATCATATTGTTCACTGGT